TTAATATATAGTATAAATAATTTAGGTCCCAATACAGAACCTTGAGGCACTCCACATACAATGTCCAGCTCACTCGATTGATATTCACCCAACTTCACAAATTGACACCTCTGTGTCAAGTAACTTCTAATCCATTTCAGAACCATTCCCCTGATCCCATATTTTTCTAACTTATCTATTAATAACTCATGATTGATTGTGTCAAATGCTTTTTTTAGGTCAATAAATATCCCCATCGTGTATTTCTTCTCATCCATAGCACTTGTTATGTAGTGCAACGTGTTCAAATCTGTTCCACTGCTGATAAGTTACACGAACAAGGGTCCCATACAGATAATCTCTGTCACCCATCAGCATAGTTTATGCTTTCTCTCAGGTGACCCTGTGTATAGATGTATTGTGGAGGGCATTCAATGTACCTGCTAATGTTCAGAGCTGTGGAGCCAAATTGCCATAACCGTAATGATGACAACAGCTATGAATATCATCACAACCAAACCACAGCAGCCGCAGCACCACAGCTTGTTATTATAAAATGTCATGGCAAATTCATTTGAGGTGAACAAGAGTTTTTTTTCTATTTAAAGACTAGAGCATTTATGTGTGTTTGCCAATTTTATCGACATATAATTAATTTCTGTGTTCACCAAATAAACCTTCAAAAATCAGATAAACCATGGCACCATCAGTTTGCCTGTGCTGTATCAGACTGTCATAGCCCCCTCTACTGAGCCAGATGACACTGGTGGAGCCATAACCTTCTGCTCACAATGTAATGAGAACTCATGAGCATCTAATCAGATCTGTGCGACCTTCCTCGAGCCCTAATCATGATGGCTGGCAGTGAACACACCGATAATGCACTTCACTCCCAGTTATCAACAGATCCACACTCCCCTGTGGAAAGGTGGTAGAGGAGGTGCTGTGGCTGCTGGAAAACAAAAAAGTTATGCAGTTCAAGCTCATGATCAAATAAGAAATTGGAACGTTTGTGTTTGTTGAACTACTGCTGCTTTGATGCAAATGTTTTTATTAGAGTTCCTAAAAGATCATGAGGTTCATTTCCTTTTGAACCGCAGTCATTTTTGCATTTTAAACATTGCCTTATGAACTTGGTAGATAATAGCATTCTGAAACAATCCGTTTTGTAACAAAATTGGGTTCATTTGAGAGGTAAGGCAACAAAAATAAACAAAGGCAAGGTAACAAAAGGTAATAAAAAGACCAGGCTTAGCTCCTCAGGTTTGTTTGCCCTAAGAGTGAGGGTGTGCAGCTAAAACAAAAGTAACCAGATAGTCGAATCTATCTTAGAAATCTGTTTCGCTTTTCGATGGTCTGTGTTTGCAGCGCCACAGTCATCACTTGTCTGCCAAGTAGACGGCATCATGCTATGAATATTCATGAATGAACATGACATTTCCCCTGCATCCTGTTTATGCCAATGACTAATGCAGCAGAGAGAAGAGAGTCTGCATGTGCAGATTATTACAAGGCTTGTGCTCAGGCCTTATATTTATAGAAGGCCCTGTAGGTGCAGGTACAGGCCAAAGCAAATATTGTCTTGATAAAACTGAATTATGAAAGCAAAAAGGAAATTATGAGGGGAACTGGAAGAAAACTGGGATTTAAGAATTTGAACATCTTGGATGTGAGCATCCAAGACTGCAGAGAATTTATTCAATTGTTGGAATAAAATCTTTGCAAGAGGTGGCCTTATTAGAGTAGAAAACACATTTCAGATGAATCACATTTTAGTATATGTGCACCTGTGATCTTCATGCAAGCAAAATCATGAATGTTCTTTCCTCTCATAATCCTCCATCAGTGAAATGAAAGATGTGCCTCTGATGTTACAGTTTGGCTGTGGGTGTGTTTGCTCTTTTCAAAGGGTGCATTTTTGATGTGCTTTTCCGCACAAGAAGAGACAGAAAGTTCCAGATGCCGGGTCAGCCTGCAGGACATTCAGCTTTTGGGCGCAGTGTGGGTCAGTGTGGAGTCACACCGTGTGCTCATGTTCACTGCAGGAATGGAGGGACATGTGTAGACTCTGGCTCGTCTGTATAGTAAGTTAATATTTGGATTTATGTTTTCTTTATAACAATTCCTCTCTTGATTAGCACATGTAGTTCTTATTGTTGAGCAGAGTGCGTATAATACTGTATGCACTGTTGAAACTACACCACAATAACCTACAGACAGTTACACAGTGAAAGTATAGTGAATGGAAATGAGTCTTTACAAGCTTCTCACAGCATCTGACTCCGTCCGTCTGCAGTTGCCAGTGCCATTTTGGATGGAAGGGAGCTCTGTGTTCTGAGCACATATCTGTGTGTGACATTGAGCACAGTCCCCCTCCTCTGTGTGCCCACGGCTCCACCTGCATCCCTCTCCCAAATGGATATACCTGCCGGTGTCCCCTAGGGACTGTGGGGCTCTACTGTGAGAAAGGTCACATCATTGAACCCTAACTTTGTCATTATGTATGTTACATGTTTATTTACAACCCCACCTCCGAAGAAGTTGGGACGGTATGTAAAATCTAAACTGAAAATAGTGATTTGTAATATTTGTAATCAATGTGCTGCTGTATTGTTTTCAGTGTAATACAGGACACAGATGATTTACACATCACTGTTTTCGGTTTTAATTTTGACTTTACATACCATCCCAACTTTTTTTGATTTGAGGTTGTAATGACATAAGAATTACACTGTTCAGTAACTGAACTGATGCATTGTTTTACTTGTTCAGCTGTGACCATCAGTGATCCATTCTTCAGCGGTAACCAGACATCATGGATGTCATTCCCACCCATGAGAATTAGACACAGGACTGTATTGCAGCTGCAGTTCCAGCCGTTGTCACCAGATGGCATCCTTGTCTACACTGCACAGCATCTCAGTGCCAGGGCAGGTGAGGATGTTTCAGTTTCCTCTTTGGAGACATTTTAATAAACAAAATGTTATGTTTAGTATTAACTATGATTACCAATTAATCAATCAAACATTCAACTATATAAATTAACTAAGCTGACTAGATGATAAAATGCAGTTTTTGGAGCACCTGCCAAAGTTCTGTACTTTTATAGAGATATTTCTGCTTGAGTTATTCTGTATTACATGCTAAAAGGCAACTTAATAGAGGTATTGCAACAAAATGTTATATTGTGCACTGACAGCATCTAAGGTACAGGTTAATATGCTGAGTATCACTAAATCAGTACTTGAGTTAAACTGGTCTAATGGACATAATCCATGTCATGTGCAATGTAAGCACCACAAAAACAGTGTCAACATGAGGTAATGTTAAAATCTCACTTCACCAAAAAAACGACAACTTTGCTTACCTAGTGTAGTCATACAAATAGTAATCACAAGATAAATCTAAGGGGTCAGGAGGTAGTTTGTGGGACTGAAAAAAAAGTTCTCCCACTTGAATTAAGATGCTTTTATCTGATTTTCTCTTTTCTTATTTCTTGAGAAATACTGAAAGAATTGTACCTCTTCTGGCCTCTAACACTCAGCTAAATGACTCAATATGCTTTGATTAATTGATAACATACTCTAAATATTCATTCACACACATAGACACACAAAACAACAAAAAAAGAGAAAAGTGAAAATGAAATAAAACACTGATTGAGTCCAGCATTAGACCTGGAGAAGTGAAGACAAAATATGTAAAATGAAATAAAATAAACAAACCATAAGCATTAGCAGTGAACTAACCGCCCCAATTTGGAATAAAATTTGTAATCTTTTGTTGGTGATAATAAACACCAGTTAAATATGGCCTTGGTTTAGGTAATAAAAGGTAATGTATAATAAAATATCGATCCCTTCTGCGCCGAGAGGCTTGTAGAAGAAAAAGTATTTAGTTGAAATGTTCACAACCTCATATTCAATGTGTGGGGTAGGTGAATAGTAGGTGAATTGAACATTTTTTTTCTTCTTCCTGCAGGAGACTTCTTCTGCCTCTCCTTGACATCTGGGTTTGTCCAGCTGCGATACAACCTGGGGGATGGCACCCACGTCCTGCAGTCTGTTGAACAAGTGGACCTGCGCCGCAGTACTTGGCACATAGTGAAGGCTGGCCGAATTGGTCACCAAGGCTTCCTCAGTCTGGACAATAAGGAGGTTAAAGAGAATGTGACTGAAGGAATGACCACCCTCGATGTTGCTACAGACATCTTTGTTGGAGGTGTGTCCACTCTGAGCTCAGTTTCCACAGATGCAACTGAAGGGGAGCCAGTGGGATTCACTGGTGGCTTGAGGGAATTTATACTCAATGGTCAAGAGTTTGAGTTAACAGAGACGGGGGCAGTAGGTGGAGCAAATGTAGGGGACTGGGATGGGACAGCCTGCGGGTACAAAGTGTGCCAAAATGGAGGTCGCTGCAGAGCAATGGGAAGTGACTCATTCACATGTATATGCCCACCATTATGGACTGGCTCTGTGTGTAACCAGTCTGTAAGCTGTGCAAAGAATACCTGCAAACATGGTTCATTATGTGCTCCATCTAGTGTCGCCTCTTACCGCTGCATATGCCCCTTAGGATGGGTAGGGCAATACTGTGACACAGAAGTGTCCACAGATATTCTGAAGTTTGTGGGAAACTCCTATGTTAAATACTGGGACATGAAATACAAGGCAAGAAATTTAAAACACATCCAGGTTTCTTTCAGCTTCCGCACAAGCTCAACTGACAGTTTGATCATGTGGATGGGAAAAGCAGAACACGAAGACGACGACTACCTTGCAGTTGGACTTGAGGGCGGTTGCATCAAAATTGCAGTCAATCTTGGAGAGAGACTTTCCCTCCCAGTAACTGTGAGAAATCTCATCCTGCCCTGCAGTGAATGGAATAATGTGTCCATACACTTAAACAGTACGATTATTCAGGTGTTCCTGAACACGAAGCAAATCCTTTTTGAAGATGTGGATCCGTTTGAGCGTTATGTAGCTTTAGACTATGGGGCCCAGCTTTACTTTGGAGGATTTGAATTATATAGAAATATATCAATTGTGACATCTGGGATGTTTTCAAAGGGCTTTGAAGGAAATCTAAGAAATGTTTATTTGTTTGAAGATACAAAGCCTTTGCTGCTTCTCAAAAATAGTGAAGGTTTTAATGTATATGAAGGCAATGAATAGTTGTCAAAGTAACTCCTGGCATCTACAATAGCTGAAAATTCCCCCTTTGACACCTTCGTCATTAGAATGATCCACCTGTGGTGGAGCAGGAAAAATAAATGCAAAATCACCATGAGATTGAAGACAGCAGTGGATGAGACTGATGCAGGTGTATGGTTTGTTGTAAGATGACTTGCAGAATAAACAACATTAAAATAGTATTTTTTGTGTGTTTGTCAGGAAACGTAAAGATTCGGTACTATCCTATGTTGACTAAACGTAATGGGAAGGATACATCGCTCGGTTCTGATTCCTTAGATATACAGTGGGTACGGAAAGTATTCAGACCCCCTTAAATTTTTCACTCTTTGTTATATTGCAGCCATATGCTAAAATCATTTAAGTTCTTTTTTTTTTCCTCATTAATGTACACACAGCACCCCATATTGACAGAAAAACGCAGATTTATTAAAAAAGAAAAACTGAAATATCACATGGTCATAAGTATTCAGACCCTTTGCTGTGACACTCATATTATTTCAGTTTTTCTTTTTTAATAAATCTGCAAAAATGTCAAAAATTCAGTGTTTTTCTGTCAATATGGGGTGCTGTGGGTACATTAATGAGGAAAAAAATTAACTTAAATGATTTTAGCATATGGCTGCAATATAACAAAAGTGAAAAATTTTAAGGGGGTCTGAATACTTTCCGTACCCACTGTAAACTACATTTGACAACGTGTTTTAAGCTGTGAAGATGAGCAATTTTGAGACGCCAGCAAAGGTTCTAAATGGGTGTTTATCCAGTAGCTGGATAGCTCAGGGGTTAACACTACAACAGGTGGGGGTTTGATACTCTGTCAAGGCATGAGAGCTTGTTTTGTGAGTGGGATTTAGGTCCTTGTGCAATCTCATTAACCAATACCAGAAGTCAGTAAAAGTTCGAAAGACATTCTTACACAGCAGGTGGATAGCACAGTGGTTAACGTCACTGACTGTGGTACAGCAGGCCAGGGTTCGTGGCCAGTTGTGGGTCCTTCAGTTCTATCCGCTGAGCGAGGTACACCATGAACGCTACGGCGAGGAGGAGTCAGGACGCCAGGGAAAGTGGGGAGATTTCATCCTCCCCCGCAACCGGAGATGGAGGACAAAGAAGACCACAGATGAAGAAGGTTTGCTTTTCAGAAAGGTAAAGTATGAGGGCTAAGGATAGATGATGTGGGGTCCTCCTGAAAGCAGCAGGCTGGTAACATGGAGGAGAGGAAGGTAGGAGGTCTTCCCTGGCATCCTGACTCCTCCTCACCATAGTGTTCATGGTGTATCTCACTCAGCAGATAGCACTAAGGGCCTTGCTGAAGGACCCACAACTGGCCGTGAACCCCCGGCCTGCCGTACCACAGTCAGTGGTATCAACCACTGTGCCATCCACCTGCTATGAAGAAGCATACTTGGAACTTGTACTGACTTCTGGTATTGGGTAATGAGCGTGCACAGGGATCTGAATCATACTCACAAAACAGAGAAGTGAACCCAGACCTGCAGTATCAAAGTCAGCGGTGTTAACCACTAAGCTATCCCCTGTCTATATAGAGACACATTTCAAACTTCTTCTGGTTTCAGTTTCTAAATGTAATGTAACCCAGTTGGACACCACCTTTAACTATGACCTCAATAACAAACATATCATTGAATTTATACATTTATGACAGTTTCATAAACACAGATGTTAAGGTGGAAGTGTTGCATTGAATTGTATACAATTGTACAGGTGTGACCATTAAAGTGGCTGGTGAGTGTATATTTCACACGGCACAAATCGCCTTGACCAAAGCCCATCTTATTAATGGCATGAAGGAATATTTGCAACAAAGCCCAACTATGATGTTTACGGTATATGAATCCTTGACTAATGTTTTGCACCCTAGACACTTTGTTCTGACACAAGTGCACAGATTCTCATCAATTTTGTCAATTTTGGGATCAAGCTGACCAGTGGAGCCTCAGAGACTGGGACGGAGATTTGTCTTCCAACAAGACAATGATTCAAAACATAAAGCAAAATCTACAATGGAATGGTTCACAAATACACATATCCAGGTGTTAGAATGGCCAAGTCAAAGTCCAGACCTGAATCCAATTGAGAATCTGTGGAAAGAACTGAAAACTGCTGTTCACAAACGCTCTCTATCCAACCTCACTGAGCTCGAGCTGTTTTGCAAGGAGGAATGGGCAAAAATTTCAGTCTCTTGATGTGCAAAACTGATAGAGACATACCCCAAGTGACTTACAGCTGTAATCGCAGCAAAAGGTGGCGCTACAAAGTATTAACTTAAGGGGGCTGAATAATTTTGCACGCCCAATTTTTCAGTTTTTTATTTGTTAAAAAAGTTTGAAATATCCAATAAATTTCGTTCCACTTCATGATTGTGTCCCACTTGTTGTTGATTCTTCACAAAAAATTACAGTTTTATATCTTTATGTTTGAAGCCTGAAATGTGGCAAAAGGTCGCAAAGTTCAAGGGGGCCGAATACTTTCGCAAGGCACTGTACAGTGGGTACGGAAAGTATTCAGACCCCCTTAAATTTTTCACTCTTTGTTATATTGCAGCCATATGCTACAATCATTTAAGTTCATTTTTTTCCTCATTAATGTACACACAGCACCCCATATTGACAGAAAAACACAGAATTTTTGACATTTTTGCAGATTTATTAAAAAAGAAAAACTGAAATATCACATGGTCATAAGTATTCAGACCCTTTGCTGTGACACTCATATATTTAACTTAGGTGCTGTCCATTTCTTCTGATCATCCCTGAGATGGTTCTACACCTTCATTTTAGTCCAGTTGTGTTTGATTATACTGATTGGACGTGATTAGGATATGTGATATTTCAGTTTTTCTTTTTTAATAAATCTGCAAAAATGTCAAAAATTCAGTGTTTTTCTGTCAATATGGGGTGCTGTGGGTACATTAATGAGGAAAAAAATTAACTTAAATGATTTTAGCATATGGCTGCAATATAACAAAAGTGAAAAATTTTAAGGGGGTCTGAATACTTTCCGTACCCACTGTAAACTACATTTGACAACGTGTTTTAAGCTGTGAAGATGAGCAATTTTGAGACGCCAGCAAAGGTTCTAAATGGGTGTTTATCCAGTAGCTGGATAGCTCAGGGGTTAACACTACAACAGGTGGGGGTTTGATACTCTGTCAAGGCATGAGAGCTTGTTTTGTGAGTGGGATTTAGGTCCTTGTGCAATCTCATTAACCAATACCAGAAGTCAGTAAAAGTTCGAAAGACATTCTTACACAGCAGGTGGATAGCACAAGGATGAAGATTTGCTTTTCAGACAGGTAAAGTATAAGGGCTATGACTTAGGGACGGTTCGTGGCCAGTTGTGGGTCCTTCAGTTCTATCCGCTGAGCGAGGTACACCATGAACGCTACGGCGAGGAGGAGTCAGGACGCCAGGGAAAGTGGGGAGATTTCATCCTCCCCCGCAACCGGAGATGGAAGGATGAAGATTTGCTTTTCAGACAGGTAAAGTATAAGGGCTATGACTTAGGGACAGATGCTGTGGGTTTGTGGTGGGGTCCTCCTGAATACTGGCAGGCGTGATAGAAGAAAGTGAAAGGGGTACATGGTGGTGGAGTAGGTAAAGAGATAGAGGAGAAGCAGGTTAAGAGATCTGGGCTTGAAGCTGACAGGAGTATAGGGTAGATCTAGATCCATCCTGCTTTTTAGTTATGTGTAGTCATTAGTAGTTTTAAAGATAAAACAACCCTACTACACTTATTGAACTATAAAAGTTAACAAGGTCCACAAGTGGCCATGAACCCCAACCTGCCGTACTACAGTCAGTGGCGTTAACCACTGTGCCAGCCACCTGCTGTGTAAGAATGTCTTTCGAACTTTTACTGACTTCTGGTATTGGCTAACATGAAAAACCAAGGCTAAACACAAAAAAGCTTGATTTGATTATCTCCCTCCTAAGGGCCTACACTGGATACTGACTTCCACTATAAAATAAAATAAAAATACAAATTTGAATATTTTAAAAGAGCATAAAAGTTAAAAAAGCTGAATGCATGCCATCGTGTCCTTAATAAAGCTGAACATTGTGATATTTGAATGGTTTTTCAAGCTGAAAGTATGCTGCAGCTAGTCAGCGGTGAAAAACAAAGAACAAATCTGAATAATAAAGAACAAGATAGTGTGGATGCCAACTCTCGCATCCACACAAAAAGGATTAGCTTTATTACGAACTGTACATAAACACACAGTGCAAAGGCACACTTCGTCTCTAACATATATTACAAGGCAAAATTTACATTTTTCAATAAAAAGTTTATAAAATATTTAAGCAATTTAACAAATTAAGTTGGGAAAAAGCAAAGCTGCTTTTTGACTGAACCTTAGTTGAGTGTTTTCCCTTACATTCATGCCAAATGTTTTAGTTCAGCTTCACACCCAATGGTCCACCCTTCTGTTGTTACCGAGACTGAAAACATCGTCTGATTATGGTCAGTACAGCAGCTCAATATAAACGATATATACAATAAAAGGTTAAAAATCTGAAAATGTTCTGAGATTTTCTTGATCCAAAGAAAACCCATCTTCATGATCCCACTGAAATGGTATCTCATTTTGGCTGCAGTCTACTCTCAAAAACATAAAATCAAAGAAATGGCATATAAGCTGCAGACATAAAACAACAAACATCTCCTCCAGCAGCCAATATAGCTGAAGTGGTTTGAACCAGCCAAGTGATCAAGCAAAGTTTTAGAGCTCTGCACACTGGCTTACTGGCTTTGGAAAAAATGTAATTCATTTATGAGTAACTGTCTCTTGAACTTCTCCGTCCATTCTCGTCAGAGTCCCGTCTATGTCTGTGTCTGTCCTTGTGGCGGCTGCTGTAGTCATCACTGTGGTGTCTCTCTTTCCTCTTCTCACCATAGCGGTCATCTGAGTGTCCGTAGTGCCTACTTTTCTCTCTGTATCTGTCCTCATAGCTACGGTCATGCTTTTTCTCCCGCTCGCGGTTGTGGTGTCGGCTCTTTTTCGCATGATGAGAATCCCTGTGGTGGCTGTGCCTCCTGTGGTGGTCTCTGTCCTCTGTACTATGTGGCCTCTCCCATGGGTCACTGTATTGCTCCTCTAGATGTTTGTAGTCTTTGACCAGGGACGGAGGTTGAGGGTTGTCATCAGAGGATTGAGAGTAACTCTCGGGGTACTGGGACTCAAGTCCAGGAATAGCATGTGAAGTGCTATCCTGAGCCCATGGTGTACTATGATTCTGATCCTGGGCGTGTTGGGTGGAGAAAGAGATCGGAGGCGGGCCGGTTGAGTAACTGTAGCTGCCAGGTACCTGAGGCTGTTCCTGTTCCAGTGGGAAAGGTACCGCACTGTTGGACTCTGGGAGAGCTGGTGCTGTTTGTGGTTCCTGCACTGTAGGAGGATTCAATGTCTGAGTTCCTGCAGCACCAACCTGGGACATGGCAGGATCTTGCTTTTCACTAGGAACTGACTGGATAGTAGTTTGGGTTTGTTCTTCAGGTTTGTTCTTGGCCTGAGAACGCTGTAAATATCCTTGGTGAAATGGTGTAACTGGATCATTTCTAGCACTGCTCAACACAGGAACAGGTTTAGGACTCGAAGAAGAAGTTGGGTGGTTGTCCTTCTGTAGCACCACTGTTTTATCTTCATTCACACTGGAATAAGCTGAAGATTTTTTCAGTATTCCACTTAAAGGAGGTTTTGAGCCACTTGTGTGATCTGAAGGAGTCTGCAACAAAGAATTCCCTTCAGACGTTCCTTCTGCAGTTTCAGACAAAAGACATGCATCGCCTTTGTCTGCCAAGGCAGTAACACTAGTTTCGCTCCCACTTTGACGCGTTGACAAGCTTGCCAGGAACGCTTCAGTCGATACATCTGGAGGCTTATCCTTCAGAGAGAGCGGTGCACCGTGGGTCACCACATCACCATCTTTTCCTGATGAGTTGTTAGCGTTAGCACCTGCTTCATTCAGGTTGGATGGCTCCGGTTCAGTCTTAGCTGGCTTTGCTTCTTTCTTCTTGATGACAAAACGCTCCCGTGGTGCAGCAGCTGTTGGACTTTTTGAGTTTCCTACTGATGCCTCTGTTTTCAGACCTGGTTGAGTCTTTTGTGTGTCAAGTTTACCCCCCACATCTGGCAGAGGTGGCAACTCCCCACCCCAGCCTACTAACACACCTGGAAGGAATCGCAGTGGTTTTTGGGGTTCAGATTGTTCTCGACGGCCGGTCTCCTTTGATGCAGATGGTTCTTCAGAAGACTCTGTAACTGGCTCATCGACATCTTCAGTAGTGTTAAGTGGTATGTCCTCCTCTTTTTTATGTGCACTAGTCAAAGAAGCAAGGAAAAATTTCTCATCTTCTGTTGCTCTGGTTTCTTTTGAGGAAATGGCAATGGGCTTGATTTCAGGAATAATCCTTGTAGTTCCATCTGCAGGAAGAAAATCCCTTTTTGGTCTCTGCCGAATTATGAGCCCAAGGAGGAGGTTGGCACGGTTGTTTTCCAAGCCTGTGAAATTAAAAGATGAATTAAGTTTGAAAGATAAAAAATGTTTATGTAAATTACACCGTGAAAATAATTGACTCTGATGAAATAAGTCTAGTGTTGAGATTACCTGGCCCATCAAAGGGAACAAGCTGATGTGGAACTTTATCGGTTGCACCCAGTGGAATGAGATACATGTCCTTCACTTGTTTCAGATTATTGGACACCACCCCAAAGCGTCTACGACTGCTGAAGTAGGCATACAGAAGAGTATAGGAGATCATATCTTCCTCTGTCTCGGGGGAGAAGCGAATCAGGCACACCTCCTTTAATAAAAAAAAAAAAAGCAAGTACAAGTAAAATCTTCCATCCTTGTTCAAGTAAAGAAGTTCAGCCAGGACTCTTCATTGAATCAGCTTTAAAAATGCATCACATGACATTCAGATTTTTTTTATCTTAACTGTGGCTCTTCAATGAACCATATGTAATTGTAATTAATGACTAAACTAAGCAGCCAAAAACTCACTTTGGTTCCAGTTGCCCGAATCTTCTCCAGATAGTCCCACACTGTCTGCGGACTTATCCTCCCTCCAACTTGAATACGGTCTGGAAGGTCCTATCAAAAACAAAACAGCCAGGAACAAAAAGAATAAGATCAAACCATACTGGTAGTACTTACTCCCTACCAGACTTCTTAACAGCTACACATATTCCAAATATGTTCATTTGTGTTTGCTTTACCTCAGTCAAGTTGTCCAAAATGCCTGAGACGGGGAAAGCTTTTGTCATGAGCTTTGCCACAGAGTGCATGTGAATGAATCCTCGCCACAGGGACTTAAAGTTGGAAAGGAAAGCAGCCTCTTCATCTCTTCCAGCTATATGATCCAACCTGGGACCAATAAAACAGCAATGGAGCAAATGTGCAAAACTGAGTTACAAATAAAACCACGCAGAGAGCGGTCAGAAATAACTACTTACCTTCCTTCATACCCTGACTGAGCATTTCGGAAACTCTCTTCTAAAACAGTGAGGTGCAGGTCATCGTCGACTGAGGGTGGGGTTGTGCTCTTCATTTCTTCTGTTTTGGTGGACTGTCTCCTAACCACTGTAGTAGCAACTTTGACCACTTTGGTTGGTACCTCCTCCACAGGGGGCGCCATGCGGCCTTATAGAAGAAACAAGTCACCAATCAGGACAGATGTTTTGCTTAAGACAGGGCCTAATGACTAGTATTGCTCATGTCAGAGTTTACCTGTGCAAATTTTGCATTGCAGGTCAAATAAGTGAGACTTGTGCTGGCTGGTAGTGTCTCTTTCTGTCTTCGCACTCTCTGCTTTCTTCTCTGGTGTTTTTGGAAGTTCTGCTGGGACTTCTGTTACTTTCAGAGGGATCTCAAGCTGAAAAGAGGGGGAGGAAAAAAGTATTAGCACCACCGTCTTCCACTTGTAAAGGGTAAATATAATGCAGAGTAATAGTTCACCTGTTCCTTACCTCTACAAGCTCTGGTGCTTTCACTGGTTCTTGGCTTTCAATTTCAATTTCACCCTTGTGTGTGATCTTAGTGATCGGCCGTCTCTCAGCCTCTCTTTGCTCTTTTTCAATCATTTCAATTGTCTGTAAAAGGGGATGAATAAAGTTTTGCATTCTAAAAATACAACACAATCTTAAAACAAAAAGAAATATTATGTTAACACTACATGCTGAGCTTAACTTTCATATAAGAACTCTTGTGACAAGCTATTAGGTGAAATCCAATATCAATTTGCTTATACCTAGTACATGCTTGAATGGAGTAGGAAGAAGTCAGACTTATCCAGTCCTACCCCATGACATCATCTTACCATCATTGGTTTGCAAGCAATAAATGATTCACTTCTACACACACACATATTATACTAAGAAAAGAATATAACAGTGTTAACATTCTTACATCACACAAGTGATATACTAAAGAATAGTTACAAAATTACTGTGAGTTATCAGGGTGAATTTTTGCAATAACATCTGTAAGGAACTACAGCAAAGACATTGCTTACATGTCGGTTCTCCCTTTGTCGCCAAGCAGCCAATTCTTTAGAGGCCAGTTCCTCAGGACTCATTCGAATTAGGTTGCCAGGAGATATCTCCCCTTTGAGCACCCTCTTAAACAGGACCTGTACGCAATTAAAATAAATATAAAGATTAAGCAAACGTAACTATGTTTATATTCGATCTGAAATATAACACCAAGTGGATCGTACCTGATTTTATATTGTACTTACATTATTTTTAGTATCTTTGAGGTTAAACATTAAGCTTCTATACTTGTTCTTGTATTTGTTGTCAGTGTCTTTATACAAGTGGAACAGCTCTCTCTCCGTCTTCTTGGCAACTTCAGAAGCCTTCTCCACTGAGATGTTCAAATCAGACTCCTTCAACCTAAAAGGCAGAAGAATGCATAACATGTTTGGTGCATATGGGTAAAGTGTTTCAATTGAAAAAAATGCAATGTAAATTACTATTTCAATTTAATTACATGTGAAATATTTACCTCTGTATAAGAATTTCTCTGAGAGATTCACGCACACTTCGCCTGATTGCCTCCACTGATACAGGTTTCTTTGAAATTGAAGATGGTGTTCTACTTTTTGTGTCTTGTTTCAGATGTATGCCTTTAAAGACAGAATGATAAAATTGAGTGAGCAGGTTGGGGAAATCTGTAACCACAAGAGCTGGGTAAAATATGAAGGTTCAATGCAGAGTTATGACACCAAAATGATACATACACAGTTTATTTTAGCTGTTCCCTAAGAAACCCTTCCTTAACCCGGAAGTTTTATTTTTTTGTTGCTCAATACCCAACAGTATTTACAACTTCTCAAAACTGAGACTCAACTGTTGAATCTTTGAAATATCAACAGTGATATCTGAGAAACAGTTGTGGGTTTGGGGGGTTAGGAGAAAATCCTCCTGTAACATTTTAAATACACACTACATGCCTTTCATATGTACTTTTATATTGAAAACATGCCACATTTAAAAAGTAATCAAATCTCACTTGTCAGCAGGACATGAGCAGCCCCTTTGAAGGACCTCAGCAGAACAGGTGATGACATTTCTCTAATCTGAGCTGTCAATAAATGTTTGTGTAAGTAACTAAAAACCTGCCAACCTATGTATAAATAAATGTTTTAAATTGTTCATGTGTTGTGATTGGCGTCTTTCAATCCCATATACAAGTTACTGTAATAAGACTAAAACTGTACGCCTGGTGAAGCCAGCCTCGCTGAAAGCTCAATATAGTGTTAAAACCCAAAAGGTATGTGTATATAAGTGCTGTCAGTTGATTAAAATATTTACATGACTGTCCATACTTAATTCAGAAATGAATAACATTTCTTTCTGTTCTAAATAGTGGTAAAAAGTAACTAAGCACATTTACTCAAGTACTGTACTTAAGTACAATTTTGAGCCATCTATACTTGAATATTTCAATTTTCTGTTACTTTATACTTTCACTTCACTTTAGAGGCAAAGATTGTACTTTTTCTCCACTACATTTATTTTATAACTTTAGTTACTAGTTACTTTTCAGAACCAGATTAATACAATAAATACAGTACAATTATAAGACCTCACTGTATCTACAGCTAACTCAATTCATATCGACAGTAAATGCACGTAACTTTGGTCTTGTCAACAAAACCACTTGGCAAGGCTTTGATGCTGAACTTGTCATTTAAAAGACCCTTTTCTTTATCCGTTTCTGCTGCTGCATTGCTTCCTGATTTCCCAAACCACAGGGTGGGCCGGGGGTCGTAATGTGCATGAGTTAATTGCACATAAAAAATAAAAAAAAGATTGTGGTGTTAAAGGAATTTGTGTTAACTTTGACAGCCCTGTATGTACACACACACACACACACGCACATATAAAAAAAATGTATCTAAATAGAAAATACCCGTTTTGTGAGCTCCTTCTTTATCATCTGTGGACTGCCTTCTATCAGGTTCCTGTTTTAGGAGAGAAGTGCAAAATGCACAGCAGCCATGTTATTAATACTGCTGATCACTAAAGAAATCTACAAAAATGAAAATGTGAAAAAGTTAAAACATAAAGTATTAATCCCTATCAGCCAAAGGTTAAAAATAAAAGGGTGCGTTTGTGCAGGAAAATGTGTTAAACTTTATTGAGTGCACTGTGTCAATCACACACTCAAGTGCAACCCTCCTGTACAGGCAAGGTAAAAGCAAAAAGACAAACCCTTGTGTAGTGGGGACACTGGCTATGAATAATATCAGAGGATGAATTAGCTGGAGGAACAAATCACAATTTTCTTTGTATAAGAAATATTCAAGTTTCTTAAATGCATGATCAAACTGCTTCATTTTAAGCACTCGTTGGGACATGGCCTACCTTTCTTACTGGTCTGACCCCCCCTGATGTGAGTGTCTGGGAGGGTCCTGGTGTGGGTTTGGGAGGCAGCTTTTGATCCTGTCCCTCAGTCTTTGATTGAATTTCTGGTCTGGCTGCACCCTGGGGCTCAGGCTCCACCTTTTTGCTTTCCTCCTCGCAGCACTTCAAACACACGTACATCTGGTCCTCCTCCTCCATTTCACGTACTTTTGTCAGGTCAAGACCAACGCAGTCACCGTGGAACCAGTCGTCGCAGCGACCGCAACCAACCATGAACCTAAACAAAGTATAGCTGTTATTAAAGGCAGGCTTGCACATGAGTATCCTGGGCACCAGAGTACACTGACATAGACAAAAAACTAAGATCAATATTAAAATTCCTTTATTTATTTAAATTTATTTTATTTCACTTGCTCATTTCATCCTAGTGATGGACAGAGGACATCAAATCTCTGACATTTGTTTCACTCCAATAAAGTGCTCTGTTTTGATACAGTGTGTCAAGGCTTGTAAACAAAGCCTCGTGGCTGACGATGTCCAGAGCGATGAGTTAGAGCATTTAAACTTTTGCCGATAAACTAGACGCATTATTGGAATAAGAGAGAATCACTGAGAAATGTTGTGGGGTGTGCTAGCAATCTGAACTATGACAACTTTTCCACCCAATACCAAGTGATAATGTTTTAAAAGTATCATTTACTGAATGATCTTCTCCAATCACATCCCATAATGGCACCAAAATATTTTATATCTAGTCTATTTGGACAACATATTTTACTGTCACCTGTTGCATAGTAACATCTACACTACTGAACAAACATTATATATTTTATAATAACACACGGCCCTGTTGTATTTTTATTGCACTATAAAACCTTAATGTTAAAATCGTTGAGGTGTTATAGGGCTTTCGCTCCAGTCTTCAGAGTCTGCTATAAACCACCAAATGTCTGAGCTTACTTGGTTTCAAAGCAAGCACAAATCTTTTTTTTAGGCACAAATAAAAAAGCCCCAAAGCTTCATCCACCCATCACTGCTACCAACTGTAAGGCAGTGCAGTCTTCTTATAATTATCCACTAATTACAGTTAATGTGCTCTCACCTTTCCTTCATCTGGTCTATAATTTCAGGTCTTAAAATCCTTCAAACATTGTATGCTGTGCTAAATAACTGCATAGTTCGATCAACAATTTAATGTTGTTCACAGTTCTTTAACAAACAGAAAAGAAAAAAAACACCTGTCAACTTAAATGTACAGCATACGCTAAAATACTTCAGTAAAAAAAAAAAAAAAAAAATTCTGTCCTAATTCAATGTTTTTTTTAATTGTACAGTCATTTCTATATTTAGGTGAAGAGAAACACTTACATGTTATTGTGGTGTTTCTTGCACAAACCACAACAGTTGTTTCCATCCCATACAGTCTCACTGTTACCAGATTGCTCCTCAGCTGTTTCCTTCTTCACAACAGGAGCATTATCTGGAATGAAGAGCTGTGGCTCATCCACAGAGATGCTTCTTGAACTTTTAACTTTCTGTCGTTGAATAAGCTTTTCTGGCTTTTTCAGTTTAGGCTTCTCCTGCCCACTTTCTTCAGGCATTTTTAAAGAATGGCCTGGACGAATGTGCGCTGGATGAGCAGTCTCCACTTTGGAGCTGTGGTGAGGATGAGTAGATTTGGTGGGTCCTTGCTGATCGCCAACACGGTTGCCAGACGATGCGCTCTTCTTCACTACTGGGCTAGCTGTACTTGGTAATTTTGACTTCCCTTTAACATCACCTGTGCTCTGTAGCTTCTGCACTTTAGTAGCATGCTCGCCTTCGGTGTTTTCCGCAGGTCTTTTTAATACTGAAATGACTTTCTTTTCCTTTAGAGATTTCATTTTTTGCAGAACTCCTCTTGGGATGACTTTGGCTGGGGTGCTGTGGGATACTTGATGTTTCTTAATCATGTTGCTTGGTTTACAGGAAACCAAGTTCTTAGTCTTGATAGAAGTCAGTCCTTGTTTTGATTTTAAATTTTTTGTCGCAGTCTGTTGCTTTTCTTTATCATCAGTCTTACTATTAGCAGAAGTTTTATTGTTCTCATTGTTTTGTGAATGCTTGACATCTCCTTTTCCTTTACTGACTGGCTTTTCCTTTCCAGGAATATCACCCTGATTGTCACTCTTTGTTTCTTGCACGTAGGGGCTCTCTATTAATGCTCCGTTGGAGGTCTGCACGTCATTAGGATTCACATACGGGCCCAGACCAAGGGCTGCATCATCAGCAGCGCTCTTCTCATTTACATCCGTCTCTACTACATTCTCTGCTACAGGGTTCTGTACATTGACAGCATCATCAGGCAATATGTCATAACCTATGTCCCCACCATACGAAACACCATCTTCAAAGCATGCAGGCTGGCTTGGATCAATGTTTTGTGAGTAAGAGGGTCCTGGAAGCAACTCAATCCTGAATCCTCCAATTGTAACAGTCAATCGCCTCAATACAACCATAGGATTCAGCCATAATCCACCATCAAGATCATTAACATTGATACGCCCTCCCAGACTTAATTCTTTCTTCAGCTGGGCTCCTTTAACTCCTTTCTCAATGAGAAATGACTTTTGTAGCCTGATGGTTGGTTTTCTTCCTGGCCGTCCTCGAGTCATGGTGTTGGTGGATGTGTTGGCAGGTTGTGGACCACCTCTGTGTTCTGTTTTGCCAAGAAAAAGCAAAACTTGAGAAAACATGTCACACTCTCTCTAATCTAAAGATGTTACATGGTGGAAACAGGAACATAAATCAGCACCAACTGACCATTTTCTAAATTACGTGGACGTTTCCTCGGCCTACCAACAGGCCGTTTGACTTGTGTGGGTGCTGCAGCTGTCAGTTCAGTGCTGAGGCCTGTGGACGCTGAACCACCATCAAGACCTGCCAACAATATCCAAAAGAAATACATGTAGACCATCTTCTTATGAATCAATTTAAGGGGCAAATAATGTATGAAACAGTTATTAAACAAATTACTGGCCTGATGCTTTATCAAACACTCATAATACTGTTTGAATGTGATATCTGATATTCCTAATGCTGAGATTATAGCTTAATATTTGTCCCCAAACAAATATTTTCCCTGCATATCGCAAAATCTCAAAACTGAGCAAAGCCATGGCTGAGGAATAAATAATGTTAGCAGGCTGTAAATGTATACTTAAAAGCAACTTTTCCACTTGTAGGGATTTTCATGTGAAACACACACATGAAGACTCACTAGCATATGTTGGTTAGTTTTTAATCAAGAGTCAATACAAGTGTACATTTAGAATTTTTACCATCTATTCTGTCTGTTGGCATACCTGTTGAGCCAGCAACCTGAAAAGTGGAGTCCTCATTGTCCAGGAGATTGAACTGAGAGTTTGCACATCCAAACATAGGATCCTTGTCACTGAGCATGTTTTTCAGTGAATCTTCTAGGCCGGTTCCTGTCCCAAACTCATTACCAGCTTCACATTCCAAATTTTGACCTATTATCAGGGAGTCATCCAACTGGTCACTGGGTATTAAATGATTAAAGGTGTCCACAATATCCATGTATGCGGCTGCCTTCCTGCATTAAAACACAGACGTAAGGAAAACCAGGTGTTCAGCTGCAGTAACCCATTTTGATCAAGCAAAACTAAGTTCATAATGCTTCAAGACAGCTATCATACAGCACATGTGTCATCCCTACAGCAGGCTCAGGGAACTATAATGGTCTAATCTAAACAAATCCCCCCCGTGATCCCGTTCAGGGACTAAGCGGTAGAAAAAAAATGAATGAACCCGGTATCTTAAAACATCACGTCTGCGGCTACCCACAGTTGTAAATGCTAAAAGTTACACAACAGTGGTTTGCTAATGTTATCTATTACGTTAATCCAACTGCGCTATCATCTCAGTTTTGGCCATTTGGGCTATCAATGTTTACCTAGCCTAAAACTGTGCACTGTCAATAATCTTGAGGTATGTTTATGTAAGAACAAGAAAACTATCCTTATAGGCAACTTGGATACTATTCTAGCGGAGAGGCTAATAGGAAATGACATGGAAGTTAGCGTTTTTAAATGACTTAAATGACTACCTAGAACAAGCCACAACCGACAAGTGCTAAACCAAAAACCTTACCTACTTAAAACAAACGGGAAACGATGTGGCAGGCTGATTTAATATAGTCTAATATAACTTCATTTCCACATGGAACACCGCGTATGTGTGACCAGATTCTACCAATGGGGTGTTTGCTAGTTAGCATGCTAAGGTTATAAGACGGCTAACGGGAATCCGTTGCAAAACGCAACATATAGCGTTATGTTGTTAAGCTAACGGTAACTTGTGGAGGAAGTTACGCTTAAGGTAACTCACTGGTGCAAACTCTGGAACTGTTACTATAACAAAAACTATGCATCAACACAAACATGTACCACAAATGCTGAAATACATTGCACAAATCAGTAAATTTTCAGCAACACAGCTCGACGCTAAATCTCTCGCTCAGGCCAGCTAAGTCGCGTTAGCATAGGCCTTAGATACCAAGTTTGTTTGTAGCCTGGGTCGTTCTAGCAGACAGATGAACACGCCTACGTGCATCTTTTTCATCGCTTGCAATTTGGATACTTAGTATAATTGTTATTCGCATATATATATACAAGTCTTACCTCTATTTAGCTGCAACGCTGTATCCAACTCGTGTAAGGTTACATACTAGCACAGCTTCTCCATGTAACTTCCTCCAACTCAGCCGTCATTCGTCCCGCTGCTGCAAAGCCCCCGACACAGGCAGCTTGGTCACGTGATTTGTGTTTACAGCCAGCTCATTTTACAGACATGACATCTTTGTGCAACATGGTTTTAAATATTTGTTTTGTAAACAAGAGATGAGACTGGCTAACTACGGAAGAGTATTAGGGCCACTGCATTTTTTTTTAATTCTGACTTTAATCTCAGATTTCTGATTAAAGTCAGAATTCTGAGATTAAAGTCAGAATTCTGAGTTTAGTCAGATTTTTGAGATTAAAGTCAGAATTCTGAGTTTAAAGTCAGAATTCTCAGATTAAAGTCAGAATTCTGAGATTAAAGTCAGAATTAAAAAAAAAATGTATGCAGTGACCCTAAAACTCTTCCGTAGCTATCAGTCTCGAAGAGCAGGCTATGATGTTTGAGTTGATTTTTAGAATGCATTCAGTCCCGTAGAGGAAAAAAATGACAAAGTGACTCTTCAGGTGGAAAAAACACATTTAGTTTATAAAAGTGAGAAATTCAGATTTTTGACAGGCTCTTGCGTGGATGATAAATTCATCTAAATCATCTTCTACATTTCAAATGAAGGTTTTTTTCTCTTTGTGCACTGTGTAAAGTAAGTAAACTGTATGCACAAACAATTTACTACAAGTTATTCAAAATAGGCGATTTTACCATTGTAAAAAAGGAGCCAAAAAACAAGTCAGGAGTCCAGATAATAATACTATAGGCCATGGTCAGTTTGTTACTGACTGTTACTACAGTTACTTTATTTTGTATTAATGAGATTTCAATCTTGCATCACTATGAAAACATTCACTGCACACAGCTCCTAACTACAATATCAAAATTGGTGTTCTCATAAATTGGTTAGTCTATAACAGGTCTCACCAACATTTTTGAGACTCAGGGCTACTTCAATCGAACTGAGTAGTACGAAGGGCTACCTGTTTGATACAAACTTCCTGAATAACAAAATTGCACGGATCACTTTTTAATAATAATAATAGTAATAATAACAATAAGAGAAGTAGTAATAATAATACTATGAGAAGAGACTGTTCACATGTCAATGGCAATTATTCCCCACAATTATTAACAATGATTTACACAACAATAATGGAAGGAAACACATATATTCAAACATGCAGCATTTATTTATGTTTATGTTCCAACATTTGAAAGTCAGGGGCCCCACCTGTTATATTTTAGTGCAAATTATCACTTCTCATATTTTAAACCAAGAAAATCATTAATCAAGTCACAAGTTATCAAGTCTTTTTTTGAACAATTATTCATATTTCTGTGCAACATTTTCAGTTTAATGTTGTTATGGTGTTTTCTATGAAAACATGTTCTCTCTTTTCTTTGTCTGTAAATGTCTGTTAATGGGAAGCCTGGCAGTGCGTTCTGCTCACCAGTGTATTGTAATCTGGTGAATAATTTGACACTGCAACTCTGAGTGAGGCTTCCAAATGTGCATCAGTAAGGCATGTTCTGTGTTTGTTCTTGATAAAGTTCATGTCAGAAAAAGCTGACTCACAGAGATAGGTTGAACCAAAAAGGCAGGCAACTTTTATAGCTGCTGTGCACACACCACTGTACTTTTCTGTGTCCACAAGGCACCAAAAGTTTGGTGCAGACTGATGGGCTTTAAGGTGGAGGTCATTTTGCAATGTTAGGATTTCTATCTCTACCTGTCCAGCATCCAAGTTGAACAGAGCACTTAGTTGCTCAGCAGTGCATGTCATGTCCACTTGCATGAAAGGATTTGTAAGGAATGGCACACATGGCTCAAGTTGATCGAAGTCACAAAACCTGTCCTCAAATTCCTGTCCTAGTCTGTTTATGACTTCAGAGTACCTTTCTACAGCTTTGTCAAAAGCTGCAGATGCAGAAGCATTGTTATTCAACACTGCCTGCACAGAGGGAAAGTGCAGCAGTGTTTTTCTCTGTAAATGCAGAGAAAATGTTCATCTTGGCTTTAAATGCCTTTACTGCACTTATCATGTGAGCAAGTTTTACCTTTGCCTTGCAGCTCACAGTTCAAATGGTTCAGTTTCCCAGTGATATCCGTTAAAAATGCAAGGTCAAGTATCCACTTCGTGTCCTGAAGCAGCGAGGCGTCTTCCCCCTTGGACTGCGTGAACTCTTTGATTTCACCCAGAAGTGACAAAAAACGCTGCCTCCCTGTGTCAGGAAAGAGGTGTGTGGTGTTGACATGCACGCAATATTGACCTTTGACTTCAGAAAGGGCCCGATTTTGTTATATACATAAAACATTTTTGTTTTAAAATGTTTGTAATAAATAGTCATTTTGATTCAAAAAGTAAAGCAACAAAAAAACTTTTTAGACGGAGCTTCATTGTGACCAGTGCTATTTTTAGAACATACTTCGCGGGTCCTTGCGGGCGACCATGTGCCCGTGGGCACCGCGTTGGTGACCCCTGGTCTACATCACACCAGGAGCGGGAACAGGTGAGATACTACAGTGATACAAAAAACAGGAGGTTTTGATCAATGTGTGGGACTTTCATTTTAAATGGTCCTGTGTTGTTGTGTTTTGGGCATTAGTAGTCTCTTATTATGAATGGAAGTAATAAGCAAAGGCATAGCTGCTATTTAGGAGACTATGCTTTGGCATTTCTTGGGATTTACAAGGCAGCCGCATGTTAGGGTGATTTTTATTTTATGCACTTAAGAATGGTTTTATTTTATAGCACACATAAGTTTACATACTTACATGTCACAGATATGTTTATGTAGTTATTTTGCACCCAATTATATGTTCACTAAAATAAAGAGAAAATAAGTTTCTGTAGGAGACACTGAAAACTTGTGTTATATTCCAGGCTCTTATGATTAAAAAGTCTGGTGCACTGAGTGGTTTTCCAAGGTCTAATCATCCCACAGGTTTTCATTAGATTTGTTGCCTTTTCCTAAAAGAGCCCATTATTCCCTCTGCTCCTTGAAGCCAGGGGAGTTGAGGTTTGATAAGATACTAAGAAGCGTTGTGGGCTGTGCAGAGT